CCCCCTCCTGTAGTCAGAACCTCTAACCCTGCTGCAAATCCTGTAGTCATACATTCCCACTTTACCGAATTTTGCAGGAATATTCTCAGGACTTCATTACAGAATTTTCAAGTTCCGTTTTTTCTCCAATAGGTGTCTCTGAGGTTCTTTTCTATTATGCAATTTACTTTAGAACCATCTTTTAAAAAAAAAATTTTGAATATTTTTTTTAATTTTTCATTTTTCTTGACAATTCAGTTGTCTGAATAAATAAACATACATGACAACTACAGTAAGATCAAAAACGACTGTAACGTTCTGACTGAAGAAGTTGATTATACTTCTAAAAGTTGGAGGGGCAATATAGATAGTACTTATTCACTAATATTGGGTAGTGTTTCCAACGCAAGTGGATTTTACTTGCGCGCAACTGTGAGCCTTTGCGCAAAATTGCGAGCAAGGAAATTTCTGCGGATTCCCAAGAAAGATTCATGAAAATTTCTGGGGATTTTCCGCAAAAATTGTTACCTAGGTACAGCTTCATGCTGTAATAATTGCACAATTTAAACTTCTTCTTGGCCTAATGACTATGCATACTAGACATAGTAAGCTGCCTAATATATGCATAGAAAAGTGTGCAAACTTCCATCTCTTATGATGTAAAATTGCCAAAAATGATGCTTTAATGGGGCTCTTTTTTAGCCATTTTGCTAGCTGGGAACATAAAAATGAAAATTTAATGTTAAAGTGGGTTTGTTTTTACGTTACTGCAATGTATAATAGTAACGTTAATGAACGCTAATGAGTCCTAAAAGGAACATTATCTAACATTCAGAGAATATTATTTGGCTTATTGGGTAATCATGTTTAATTTATTTTAAAAAGTAAGTAATTTTTAAACCAGCAGATAATTTGGTATTAACAGTTAGTTTGATAATTTAGAGTTAGACATCTGTGAAGTGATTGATAATTGATAAATAAAATAAATAAAAATTGTGATATAATCATCATTCTTTCAAGACCCCATTTTTGAAATAATCTTGCCTGTTTATGACCACCAAATGTTGGTGTTTGTGCGAACTTTTTCTGCATTCAGTTTTTGCTTGGAATTTGTGTCAATTTTTCCCTTGCAATTTGGGCAAGTTTTTTTTGCAGAATTTTCTTAATTTTCTGCGCAATGTTTGCCTTGCTCTTCAAAAATCATTTCGCTCGACCTTCTTAAAATTATACACCCTTGCTGGTGCAATTAAATGCATATGTGATACAGTAAACTAGTAAATCCTTGTACCGGTTAAAATCCTGCAACAATTAGAAAATAAAATTTTTGGATTCTCACAAATTTTTCCAATTTTATGTTCTCTATTTCAAAATGCTTTTGGTAGAAATGTTTGTTATTACACACAAAATGTAAGGATTTTTCTAACAGTGTGGAATTATCTGGAATTTTAGGCTTACTGGTTTTCCGAAATGAAATTTTAAAAATGTGCGGTCGGGAAAGTGTGTTGTGCAATTAAATATTAAAGAATTCTAGTGGACCCCCTAGTTTTGTTTATAAGAATACTGCTAGTAGGCGAGCTGTTTGGGGGTGGGGATGGGGGGATTCAAGGTTACTGTATAGATCAACCCATGATCTCTCCACAGTCTATTAAAAACATGCTTAGCATGATGGAAAATTTGATGTTGTGAAATTGACTTCCAATCCATTAATCTAATTCTAAACCATGAATGGACAACAAATGCATATTTTTAACTGCATGGTAAATTGTTGACTACTTTTTTCTTGTGGACTACAAATACAACTCCACAATTTCACAATAAATATCCACAGTCCAGCACACAGGTCACAGTTACTACAAATATGAAACACTTATTAGTTCAAGAAAGTTCTGTTTCTAAGTTTTACTCACATAAATGGTAAACTTTCAAATTTGCCAATTTAAGCATATAATTAAATGCACTTTAAGAAAATATATGTTTTCATGAATATATCTACCAAGTTCCACAGCATTAATGTTTCTAACAAATTCACAAATTAAGAAATCACAGGGAACAATCACAGGATCAGTGTCGCTTGGTCGGCACAAAAGTCTCAATTCCGGATTCCCCTCTGTATTCTGCTGCTATACCCACTGCTCCCTCTGCCGGCAGCGTGCCTGCTTCGACCCGGCCCGACATCACAAACCCTGTCCAAACCTAGACACCACTAGCAGGATCAGCAGGACTAGCAGAGCCGTCTATAGTCGACAACCACCATTTATTATTATTATGGCGACTAATTGTAGACTGAAAAGTGAAAGTCTGTGTTAATAGGCTGATTCTTAGTGCCAATAAACATGCTTCAAAATCAAAAATTCAAAAATCTGCCACTTTTTAATTGGTCCAATAAATTATTTATCCACTGGATAAATTTGTTAAAATTAAAATGTTGTTTAAAAACCAGGGTTTAAAAATTAAAAACTTTTTTTTTAAAATAATTTTTGTGATAAATGGTTGATATTATATTTACCCCTGAAACAGGGTTTACTCGATTTATCCTTTAAATTGTGTGGGGGGGGGGTAGGTGCATGACGTCATCCCAGCTATCTAGGTTGTCCTGGCAGCCCAAGCCACAAGTTTTAACCTCGCGTCGACTCACTCTGTGCAACACAGAAAACTTAATTTCGACATTTACCGAAAACCAGATTTTTCAATTTTCAGAAATTAACAATTAAATTATTTTTGATTTTTTTTATGCCAACAGGGGTGGATATAGAAACTAAGTGAGGGGGGTGCTAGATTTATTTTGGAAAAAAATCCAAATTTAGGAACATTTTTTTTAAAAAGCACAACTCAAATAATTTTTTCAATGCTATTTAAAATTAATATTTTGTGTGTTGAATTCTGAAACTGTTTTACAATGAAATTTTTGACAAATTTGGCTGAGTATTGCATCTTGAAATATTACAAAGTTGGTTAAAGAGTGATTTTATGATGGATTTACTATAATGAATCAGTAATTGAACAATCATTAGACTTTTTGATATTTCAAGATGCAATACTCAGTCAAATTTGTCAAAAATTTCATTGTAAAACAGTTTTAGAATTCAACACACAAAATATTAATTTTAAGTGGAATTGCAAAAATGGTTTGAGTTGTGCTTTTTTGTGTGACGCGGCTGGATTTTTTAAAATCACACTTTAAAGCCCTAAATATGAAGTTCGTAGTAAGATTTCGATATTACTGGAGACCACCGGAGGGATTTTATTTTCACTGGAGGGGTTTAAAAAATGCTATTTACAATTTAAAACTTTACGCAGGGTGATTTACATTTCACTGGAGGGATTAAGATATCTTTCCAGGGGGGTTATAATTCCACTGGAGGGATTCAGTTATCCTTCCTAGGGGTTTATAATTCCACTGGAGGGATTCAGAAATCCTTCCTGGGGGTTTATAACTCCACTGGAGGGATTCAGATATCCTTCCTGGGGGTTTAAAATTCCACTGGAGGGATTCCGATATCTTTCCTAGGGGTTTATGATTCCACTAGAGGGATTCAGATATCCTTCCTGGGGGTTTATAATTCCACTGGAGGGATTCAGATATCCTTCCTGGGGGGTTATAATTCCACTGGAGGGATTAAGATATCTTTCCTAGGGGTTTATAATTCCACTGGAGGGATTCAGATATCTTTCCTAGGGGTTTATTATTACACAGGAGGGATTCAGATATCCTTCCTGGGGGGTTATAATTCCACTGGAGGGATTCAGTTATCCTTCCAAGGGGTTTACAATTTCACTGGAGGGATTCAGACATCCTTTCTGGGGGGTTCTAATTCCACTGGAGGGATTCAGTTATCCTTCCAAGGGGTTTATGATTTCACTGGAGGGATTCAGACATCCTTTCTGGGGGGTTCTAATTCCACTGGAGGGATTCAGTTATCCTTCCTAGGGGTTTATAATTCCACTGGAGGGATTCAGTTATCCTTTCTAGGGGTTTATAATTCCACTGGAGGGATTCAGATGTCGTTCCTAGGGGGTTCTAATTCCACTGTGTGGATTCAGTTATCCTTCCTAGGAGTTTATAATTCCAATGGATCTCCCTCCAGTGGAATTATAAACCCCTTGGAAGGATTACTGAATCCCTCCAGTGGAATTATAATTCCTCTGGAAAGATATCTGAATCCCTCCAGTGGAATTATAAACCCATAGGAAGGATATCTGAATCCCTCCAATGGAAATAAAAACCCCTAGGAAGGATATCAAAATCCCTCCAGTGGATTTACAAATCCCCTGGAAAGATATCTGAATCCCTCCAGTGGATTTATAAACCCCCTGGAAAATTATCTGACTCCCTCCAGTAGAATTTAAAAAAACCCATAGGAAGGATAACTGAATCCCTTCAGTGGAATTATAAGCCTCTAGAAAGGATGACTGAATCCCTCCAGTGGAACTATAATCCCCTAGGAAGGATATCTGAATCCCTCCAGTGGAATTATAAACCTCCTGGAAAAATATCTGAATCCCTCCAGTGGAATTATAAACCTCCTGGAAAAATATCTGAATCCCTCGAGTGAAATTACAAACCCCTAGGAAGTATATCTGAATCCCTTCAGTGGAATTACAAACCCCTAGGAAGGATATCTGAATCCCTCCACTGGAACTATAAACCCCCTGGAAAGATTTCTGAATCCCTCCAGTGGAATTATAAACCCCATGGAAAGATATCTGAATCACTCCAGTGGAATTATAAACCCACAGAAATTATGTCTGAATCCCTCCAGTGGAATTATAAACCCCTAGGAAAGATATCTGAATCCCTCCATTGGAATTATAAACCCCTAGGAAGGATATCTGAATCCCTCCAGTGGAATGGAAATCACCTTGCGTAAAGTTATGAATTGTAAAAAGCATTTTTTCAAACCCCTTTAGTGAAAATGAATTCCCTCAAGTGGTCTCCAGTGGAGTCAAAATCTTACTACGAACTTCCGTGACTCCCTAATTATACCATTTAAAAAAGTAGTTTTGCCCGGAAGAGTCAAATGTGGTGGTATGCAAGGGGAAATAGTGGTGGCTCATGGCTGCCGGAAGAGAAAAAAGCTAATATGTGGTACGGAAGGAGAAATAGTGGTGGCTCATGCCGCCTGCCTTCCCCTGCTCGAAGCACAGCAGATGAGATGAATGAGGTATCATAAATATCGTGAATTGTGATTAATTAATGTTTCTATTTCTCACAAAATGCATGAAAAAAGAAGAAAATCAAACTTGCATCCTACTTTAAATAACATGTTCATTACGAAAAGTTCTCTGTACTCACTCCTCTGCTGCTTTATTAATTGTAAATTGGCGGTACAGTCCAAAGTATGACTGCAAAGGTTTGCCCAGCTCGGATATTTAAATGTACACTGGCGGGGGCATGTGCAACTTGAATTAATGGCAAAGATATCGAAATATAACACAAAAATTTCCACTCTACTGTTATAAAAGTGTGAATCTATACTGCATGCTTTAAGGAACTAACAACAATTGCTCCAAGAACATTAGTTATTAAGATTTTATCCAACATTTGTAGATCAGAAATCAGAAATCTTGGAATCTGAGTTTTTGCTTTTATAAAATTTGTCAATTATTAATTTGTCATTTAAAAATTGGTTAATTGTAGTTATTAATTGAGAAGATATGGGTTCCAAGCTTTTCTAAATAATCTCCAACCAAGATTAGATGCCTTCCTGTCTTCTCTCCAACATTCCAACTTTTTATATCAAAAATATTATGTTAAAGGGATGCTATTTAAAGGGCTGTAGCAGGGGAGGGGGGGGGGGGGCACAGTCAAAATTTTTTAGGACCTGTTTTTTGAGTTGATTAAGCAGTATACAATATACATATATGCCTAAAATGGAAGTGAACTGTAGTTTGAAGAGAAGATGTTGAAGATGTAACAAAATAAGTCTTCTTGAAATATAAATATGCCATTTTACATCGGAATAAGTTTAAAGAATTGAGTGATATCTTCGTATGAGGATTAGAACAAGGAAAATGGGAAAATGTAAGTGTTCCATCCATGTAGTCGGGAGAAGGCTGAGTAGTGAGCAATATCATAATGTGTTGTGTGATAGGATCGGAGTCCCCAGCTCCAAAAGCCCGCAAGGAAATGTGTATAATGTCTGGTTTAGAGGAATAGTAATTGCAGCGGAAACCCTGTCCGGTGAGTCCCGCTAGCCCAGTGCTCACAAACACGAAATACAAATCCAACTCAACTTAATCCCTAGTCTGCAGAGCCTTAGTGTTCAGGAAAGTTTTTTTAGAAACACAAATTGTCATAGAATATGATGATGATAAGCTTTACAATCTTAACTCTAACGTGTAATGTGTCAGTTTCAAGAATTTATGCAATTAGGTCTTAAAGGAATTCAGTTCTTTCCCTCCATCTTTGCAACCTGATATAGTAGACTTTTCATATTTTAACCTATAGAACTCATGTTAGATTAAATAGTCTTAAAATATTAAATGTTTACGATATCAGGTTGCAAAGATGAAATGATTGCAAAACCTGAGTGACAAGAACTCAGTTTCTTTAAAAAATCTTATTATCATGATATGCATAATTGATTAATAAATGCTTTATTTCAAGAGAGCATTCTTTCTGGGTGAGACAAAGTTGAATGTCAATACAATGACAAGAATTAACAGCTTGCAGTTGTACTCAAAATATGCTTGCGAAACAATAAGACTAACAAGCTATAAACAATGAAAGCATGCATATGGTACCCCAATTTTTATCTCATAAAACAGCTGAACTCTGGACAACTATTATTTGATTAACTTGAAGAGATAATAGAATAATTACCTTACTGTCGACTGTGGCTCTGTGGCTGTCCCACTTATACTTGATATTCTACTGAATGTCGACAAGCTGCTTTGTCGACCCTCTAGCTCGATGAAATGTCTGGAAAGTGATGTGTGTTGCACGAGTCAGGGCAGACAGGGCCAGATTTTCCTGCAATCTGATTGGTATGTCTACATCGACTATGATTGGTCCAAACTATACAGACTCTTCTTACATTAGACTTCCACAATCTACATTCTACAATCCACATCATAGCGCTAGCAGAACAATCAGATAGTCCTCATAGCCAAGTCAAAGTGGACTGAGAAAAAATATGGGTTACAATCTGCGCATTTAGTTGATGTGTACGTATCTCTAATAGTTTATGTGGAACTTTTCAAATCAAGAAAATATTACTGGCTAGCTGAAGTGCCCGGCGTTGCACGTGGAATTTTTGAAAAAATCGAATTTTGAAGAAAAAAGATTTTATATTTAAAAAAAGAAAAAAAATTCGATTTAAAAAATCAATCGATTTTTGAAAAAAAAACTCAAATTTGTTTATTCCTATGTTAATTGTTACCCCCAGGATTCCCAAGGGTTCTGGGTTCCCTTATAAAATTTCAGCCAACTTGGTTCAGCCGTTTGGCCAGCTATAGGCTAACATATATATATATATATATATATATATATATATGAGAAAAGATCATATAGATAATATATACTCTAGCTTGGGAACCCAGCTCTGCCCATGTTGTATAAAAGTTACTCGTGCCGTTTATACTCGCACTTGATCGATTTTACCGGGAAAATAAAATTTTCGCTATTAAAGTCGACTTACTTAACCTAGAATCTCAAAACTAAGCTATACATTTCCGTTGGTCTCCCGAGTTCCGCAATCAAAATTTTAGGCAAATCGGACCAGGGGTTCCTGAGTACTGATCGGACAATCAAACAAACAGACAGAAAAATAGAGATTACAACTTTATATATATAGATATACATTACATTGGCTAGGATGGTGTGCACTGCAAACTCTGTGTGAACTCGAGTATTAATTGGAGACTGGTAGTAGAGAGAGCTGCAGACTGGAAATATATTTTGATGATTTCTCATTTTTAATTTCCCGGATTTTCTGGATTTTTGAAAATAAATCTTTGAAGAGAATAGGAATGTGATTTTTCAATAATTTCTTTGTTGGATATCAATATATTTTGTAAATTTATTTGCACTGGTTTATTTTATGATGTGATTTGATTTCTGACAATCATTTAACAGGATTTTCCAATTAAATAATTGGGTATTCGCCACAAACTCCGAATTTCTTATCCTTATATATCTTTGCAATCCAGTGTTGTAAATACTTAGATATTTCAAACTAAAAATTCTGTTATATCAAATAATCTATGTTTGAAATAATGGTTTACACCATCCAGGATGCAAAGATAAAGTGATTAGAACATTTAAGTTTGTGGCAAAAACTCGATGCAGCATTTGTTTTAGATTTTTAATGTATGGCCTAAAACTATTAGAATAAAAAAGGATGAAATGGTTAAATATTTTAACAAATATATGATATAATTAACATGATATACGTGGAACAGAGTTATTTTATTTGAAATATAAAGATATGGTTGCACTTCTTCTGTGCTATAACTGTGCTACTGTCCTTTACAGCTGTTTGTGTTGTAAAATAAAATCCCTAGACGCAGCTGTCACAGTTAACCGTTTATTTTGTTGTCCAAGGTACTTAAAAATTCATTCTTGAATATTATCCAGTGGTCGAGAATTCAAAAGTTGTCACACTTGCGCTTTTCACTGTAGAAAAACATATAGGATTTTTTAGAATTAAACACTTTTAAACCTTGGAAACCGATCATATCTTCCACATTATTGATCAGATAAAGCTTTCAAGGTTACCTTTTTTGAATGGAGATTCAGTTGAAATCGCACTTTTTCAATTCCCTTAAGTGTAAATAGGATTTTTTTTCACAATAAAAAAAAATTTTGATCCGTAAGATACAATTATCGGAAAACATTTTTCTTTGTTTTAACGCATGTAATTATCCAATCAAACCCCCCCCCCTCAACCCTGTAATTTTTCCAATGTATAAAGGGAGGGCAGACCATGCTGATCTCTGATTTGTTAAGGCTTAAGAGTAAAGACTAAAGAGCTATAGTTTAATGGGAACCCTGGTAGAAAAACTCAGCTTTTCATAAAGTAATGTTGTATAATATAATAACTTAGAATTATAGCAAATATAGCAAAACAGGTGTAATTTGTATCTACTGTAATTAAATAAGACTTTGTATTTTTGTTTGGCATTTTTAAAACAGGGGGGAGAATTNCTGAAAAAAAAAATTTTGAATGAAAAAAAAGGAAACGAGAAATGAAAGAAAGAAATAAAAACGGCATAAAAACTAATTTTTGCTACGATTATTATGTGTAAAGGATTAATTAAAGAAAAATTGATTAAGTGCTTTCTGAAATAAATTATTTAGAAATTTTTATTTCTATCCTGTCTTGTGAAATCAAAGGATTTAAATCATTTTTTTTTGCATTTTGAGAAGCTTCCTTTTTCCTTCTTTTATTAGATTAACAATTCTAATTTACCATCGAACTGCAAAAAGTAACATGGAGACAAATTGAAATTATGTATAGAATATGGTCAGAGAGACTGTTTTTTTCGAATTTTAGTTTTAGGAAAACTGGAGATTTTTATGTTTGAGGTTTTCTTGATCTTTACTGGCATTTACATCCTTTACTTTCCCTGTATTAACAATAAGTATTTGCTATTAATGATTCAAAAATGTTCAGCTCAAATCTCTGCAGATGTTTTTGTTTTGATGCAAATAGCTTCTCAATAACACTATAAAGGAAAGAAAACAAAATGCAAAACGGCAAAACATTTATTTTAATAAACTATTATGTGTGGTAGGCTAAAAATCTAATTTTTTAGTGTTTAGTCATAAATTTTTATCCTTTTTGAGCTTCTTAGGTGACATTTTTTTTTATCTAATATAATTTTTATATCTCGCATTTCTAATATTTTTGCTCCCCCCCTTTTTACTAATTCCTAGCTACGGGCCTGTAATACAATTCGGGGTTTTCTTAGATTTTTTCCAAATGATACAGCATGATACAGCCATAAAACTGTGGAATAGAAAAACAATGTGTACTAGATGTGCATTAGATGTGTACTAGATGTGTACTAGATGTGTACAAGATGTGTACTAGATGAGTATTAAATGTGTACTTATTGATGTGTACTAGATGAGTATTAGATGTGTACTAAATGTGTACTAGATAATTATTAGATGTGTACTAGATGTGTACTAGATGTGTACTAGATGTGTACTAGATGTGTACTAGATGTGTATTAGATGTTTACAAGATGTGTACTAGATGAGTATTAAATGTGTACTTATAGATGTGTACTAGATGTGTACTAGATGTATACTAGATGTGTACTAGATGTGTACTAGATGTGTATTAGATGTGTACTAGATGTGTACTAGATGTGTATTAGATTGTACAAGATGTGTACTATGATGAGTATTAGATGTGTACTAGATGTGTAATAGATAAGTATTAGATGTGTATTAGATGTGTATTTGATGTGTACTAGATAAGTATTAGATGTGTACTAGATGTGTATTTGATGTGTACTAGATGTTGTTGTATTATCGCAATTACTTGTACCACCACTAGAAGCTTGAACTAAAGTAAATGGAAGATTGAAAATTTAAATCTTTCAATCATAGCTCCTATAAATATAAATGTGTATATATAATATAAGTGTGTAAAATCCAAACTAGAGGAGCTACGAGGTCACAAAGTTTTACGGTCGATTTTCACCTTCTCTTTCCGTCTAGTTTGCAGTGCAGGAAAATCAATTACACTATAACCCCGTTGAAATCAACTACACTATAACCTCGTTGAAATCAACTATACTATAACCTCGTTGAAATCAACTACACTATAACCTCGTTGAAATCAACTACACTATAACCTCGTTGAAATCAACTTATCAACTAATATTGGTCTGTTGTTAATGTTAAATGTTAAATAGTTTGTTTGAGGAAATCTGTTACAAGATAATTAAAAAGAGGTCCTTCAAAACTTCCAGATTCCTAAAGATATTTTTAAAAGGAAAGGATTTTTTTTACATAAATGTTTCAAGGTTAACCTTTCGAACCTTAGAATTATTAAACCTCCTCTCTGTGTTTTCAATTTGATTAACCCAACCAAACTTTTATAATTAATAGATAAATAGATCAATAGATAAGGAAATAAAATGATAAATAGATAAATAGACAAATAGATAAATAGATAAATAGATAAATAGATAAATAGATAAATAGATAAATAGATAAATAGATAAATGAATAAAGAGATAAATAGACAAATATATAAATAGATAAATAGATTAATAAATAAAGAGATAAATAGACAAATAGATAAATAGATAAACAGAAAAATAGATCAGTAGATAAATAGATAAATGGAAAAATAGATAAATAGATAAATAAATAAAGAGATAAATAGACAAATAGATAAATAGATAAATAGATGAATAAATAAAGAGATAAATAGACAAATAGATAAATAGATAAACAGAAAAATAGATCAGTAGATAAATAGATAAATAGGTAAATAAATAAATAGATAAATAGATAAATAGATAAATAGATAAATAGATAAATAGATAAATTGACAAATAGATAAGTAGACAAATAGATAAATAGACAAATAGATAAATAGACAAATAGATAAATAGACAAATAGATAAACAGACAAATAGATAAATAGATAAATATATAAATAGATAAATAGATAAATATACAAATAGATAAATAGACAAGTAGATAAATAGATAAAAAGATAAATAAATAAGTAGATAAATAGACAAATAGATAAATAGACAAATAAATTATTTTTATAGTGTGAGGGGGGGGAGGCAACGGAGGGAAAAGGTTAAAAACGAACATCTACCGGGCTAATGGTGATAATTGTACTTGTTTTTTTAAATCATCTGGATTCTAAATTTTTACAAAAATTATTTTAAAAAAGATAATTTTTATGTCTTTTCCAAAAATGATATGCAACAAATTTTTTTTACTATATCAACATCTGTTAATTTGCAATTGCAAATATGTTTAAAAATACTTTCAAATATAAATTATTCATGGACATATATGTTAATTAACATTGACAACATAGTTTAAATAGCTTTATATAAAATAAAATGTGGGGGGAGGGGGTCCTGTTCAGTTAGGTTACTTTAAATGGGAATCGTTCGATGTTGTTTTACCTTGATCCAGAACGTGCACGCTCTAGCAGTATTTTGTAAATTATCCTATTTAAACTGAAGCTTGAAACATTTCAAAGACGATCCGGTCTTGAAAATTGATGCACAGCTGCCATAGCTGTCTGGATGTCTGTGTTTTTCTTTCTTGATTTAGCAGACACGGACACAGAAAGGTGGCTAATAATCATGATTAGCAGAAAGCGAATACTTGCTTTGCTGAGGGGGGTCGGGGCGTTATCAGGTCTGCCCCCCGACCCCTTCCTCCATCATTTAATGTCACTGCTAAAAAAACTTTTTAATGCCTCTGATTAAACTACAGAAATAAGTATTCTGTCATTCCCTTTGTTAAAAACCAATAGTTTTTATGTTTTATTGATTTAATACAAAGAAAACAATATGTTTTTATGTTTTATTGATTTAATCCAAAGAAAACTAGTTTTTCTAAATTAAAGTTACCAAGAAGCTTTTATTACAAAAATTATTTTTTTAGATATATCACAAAAAGTTTGACACAATATAGTCAGGATATACTTATAACATTGGTTGTTGGTTTGGCTTTTGGTTTGGCCAACATGGCTAAAACTGATATATAAACAGGGTCAGTCAAAAAAAAATTTTGTGTCGTCTGTTTAAAACAATTTTTTTCCGGAAATCTTAAATATATATTTATAGTATTTTACTATCTGTTGAGAAAAAAAATTGCAACTCACATGGCCCGAAAAAAAAATCAGCAAACCTTTTTTATTAAATTTAAAAGAGCAGAAAAACAAAATATTATAACAAACTTTTTCTATCATTAACC